GTAATAATAGTAATAATAATAATGATAATGATAATAGTAAGAAGAAGAAGAAAATAATTTCTATAGCGCCTTATACACCCTAAGAATACAGCTCTATGCGCTTTTCTTTACAATACGTTCATCTCAGCATAGAACTCAAGGGAATGAACATTTTGCACACAGACTTCGCTCTTTCGATTTCCGCTAACTCGTAATATAAGCCTTCGTACTATCATAGCACAATGGAAGCGAGGGATGATGAATGGATATTGTGTTTTTCATTTTGTTATGTTTGTTGTTGTTGCTGTTGTTGTTGTTGTTGTTGTTGTTGTTGTTGTTGTTGTGTGGGTTTTGGGGTTGTGTTTTTGCTGTGTGGTTTGTTTTTGTTTTTTATTGTTGGTTTTTGTTTTGTTTTGTTTTGGGTTTTTTTGTCTGACCCCTTTAAATGATGCATTCGGGTTTTTCATTGGTCTCTCAGATTCTCCAGTCCGAGGGCCCCTACCCGATGGTGGTGCTGCCACAAACGGGAGGCTACTGGATGGAGAGCAGTGACGGGTTCATAACTCTGGAGGATGATGTCAATGAGTCAGTTACCTCCCTTCACCCCAGTGCCAGCGAACTCAGCATCGATACCGACTTCACTGCTCAGTGCTACCGTTGCGAGTTCTATGGAAAGGTAAGAGGAAGAGGAAGAAGAATTGCCGGCTGATCAAGGACTTTATTAGCCCCTTGTGGTACATGGAAAAGTATTAACTACTCAATATGCAGCCTACGATTATTAAACTTTCAAGTAGCCTTCTTAGTATTATGACTATGAAAGTTGTATCCTTCTTAGCCCAGGTTGGCCCTGACAGGCAGGATCTGAAGCAGCCCACCTCCTTAATGATCTAAATTGTGTCTATGGATGTGTAAAATAATCCTTACGGGCCTACATTTGAAACAAAAAATAAAAATAAAAGATAAATGAAATAAAATAAGATAAATAAAGCTGTAAAAATCAAATAAAATAAAATAAGAAAAAATGAAATTAAAAAATAAATTAAGTTAAATTAAATTTAATTTAATTTAATTTAATTTAATTAAATGAAAGAGAAACACGGTCACTAAATCGAACACTTACTTCCCAGGAACACTTCAACTACTACGCCATGGACGACAACTTGGGTCCCGTGGTGATGTCAGTGAAGGCCGAGTCGTCTCCCCCTGACTCCATCAACGCCGTGGTCCGCACACGCTTCTGCACCAGGCAGGAGATTATTCCCGCCAACGCCATACAGGTGCCAAACCCAGCCAAAATCGCCAAGGTAAGTTCTAACTAACTAGCATAGCAGGGCGGGTGCTCTGGTGCGGTTTGCGCCTTCTCTCATGTCAAACTTCTCTCATCCTTATCTCCCCTCCTTCTTTTTTGTGTTTGTTACTCTCTTATCACATGTAATCTAGTTTTTGGCACTTATAATATCTTATATGTTGCAAGTGCGATAAAACTTTTTTTTTTTTTATAGCTTTTAGTTTCACTTTTTGGTTATGTCGTGTTATATTTAGGGGAGTTTTTTCTCCTAACTTAGAAAAAAAAGTTTTATTCTGAAGTTCTGTTTTGCTTTTTTTGTTCCTTAGTTATGTTTTGTTTTGTTTCTTAGTTATCTTTTGGTTTCAACACTGAGTTGTCTATTGGTTCTGTTTCTTTGTTATATTGTGTTATCTTGTATTTTTATTAATAACTCATCTTTTAGTTTTGTTCTATTTGCTCTTAATTATATTATTTCCCTCTCCCCTCCCTCCCTCCCTCCCTCCATCCATCTATCCTTCCATCCATTCTTCCTTCCTTCCTTCCTTCCTTCCTTCCTTCCTTCCTTCCTTCCTTCCATCCTTCCTTCCTTCCTTCGTCCATCTCACTTTCCGTACGCGCGAGTTCCTTTCCTCACAAATTCTTCCGCCCAATATGTTTTATTATATAGGCCTGGGGCCTATATACAAATATATATAATAATATAATATAGATATATATATGATGGCCATTTCCTGTCAAATGTTATACCCGAGACACCGATCAACAAGACGTTGCGTCACACAACAATAACAGCCTGTGTAGATAGTATTACAACAGATTGCTGTGACCTTTAGGTCTGCTAGCCTCACTTTCTTTGTGGGGTGTGTCACGACACGGTGAAATCAGGCGCTCGTCAACGTTTGTTGGATTATATTATGGAGTTATTGGAATTGTCTTAAAGCTTGTTCGTTTGTCTTGCTTAGGATTTAAGTGAAATTTTTATATCGATCTACTTTGGATAAAAGTCGAGCGAGATGTTCGCGATTGACGGAGGTGGGGTGGTGAATTAGCGAGAAAATGTTTGGTGACAAAGTTTGGTGATTTCCAAAGCTTGAACATCCTTTTAGACTTCAGATGCGTTTTTCAGTAAAGTCCATTCAGAAATATGTTTTTGAATGTACGTAAGAGATGTTGAAAGAAAGAACCTAACACTTGCGCAATTTCGATTTCGTCGATTTCATTATTTTGACGAGCGCCTGATTTCACCACGATGCAGCTCACTCGTCTTCTGCGCAGCGCTTCCTCTGTCAGCTGATTATGTCCTGTCGTCTGTTAACCCTTTCATTACTGAAACGTTTCCAACTACGTTTGTGCAGACAATATGAAATGTCAGTTCAACATAAGAGCAATAAGCAGAACCGTAATATCTTCCACGAGGTGCCAGTTGGGGGGAATCGGGTCGGGTCGGGTCATGTCGGTTTGCTAGCCAGATTGAGTGCGCAAAGCGGTTGTCGTGGCACAAGCCGATCGCGCCCGACTCGTCGCCTCAAAAACAAACGCGTTTGTTTTCAGGCGACGAAAGGGGCGATCGCCCCCGACCCGACCCGACCCGACCCGCAAGGGACACCCCGTTAAAGAGTAAGAAACTGCAGATCGGCGTCTGTGATGTAGTGGTACTTCGCTGTCGCAGGCAAAAGACCTGAGTTCGATTCCCGAGTGGTGGTAAATTTTATCGAGTACATGTATCTCAGAGCATCTCAGTCTTTCTGCAGGGATGTTGCATCCCTCTCAGCCCGGGTTGACCCTGACAGGCAATGTCGAAATGGGAACGTAACAACACCTATATTATTATTTTTTAAAAGACAAAACAAAACATAAGCAAACAAATAAACGAACAAACAAACAAACAAACAAACGAACAAATAAGCTACAAGTTGTAGTAATCCGCATATGTCCTCAAACTCAAACTCCCCTCTATATAAACATAGTACAACAGCTCGGATGCCACCACTGACTTCAAGCCAGTTTAGGATTTTTTTTTTTTAGTAGAGGTTTTACGCCGCTCGCAACTGCATAAGGTCATATGAGCGCCAGGAGATTAGAGGCGTTACAAGAGAGTAACAAACATTGAAAAAGAGGAAGGGGAGATAAGGACGATAGATGTTTCATAGGACAGAAGAAGAAGCAAACCACACCAGAGCACCAGAGAGTTTAGGATTAATTCTATTCTAAAACAAACAAGTACACGACGGCCCAGTGATGTTCAGGTTAATCAAGACCACTCTGCTCTCAACGCGACGAAAAAAAAAAAAAAAGAAAAGAAAAGAAAAAAAAAAGAAGAAAGAAAGAAAAACATAATTATAATTATCTTTTGAAAAACAACACATATAATGATCTTTTTGTTGAGGGCCGGATTTTTATTTTTTAAATTTGATTTTCTTCCTGCTTTTCATTATATATTATTACTATTATTATTTTTTTCCCCCATTTTAACTGGGGGGGGGGGGGGGGGGGGGGGCTTTGTGGGGTCCTTTTTTATAAAAAAAATCGAGTTTCTGGGTCAAAGTCTCAGGTTTTATTTTAATGTGTTTTGTTTTATTTTGTTTGTGCTGCTTTAGTTCCATTCGTCACTTTTGCAAAGGAACTTCCTGGTCGTATGGTGTCAAAGGCCAATGACCGCCTTTATTTTGTCTTCCAATCGGAATGTTCGACCGAGATCTGGGCTGATGGGACTCGGTAGAAAATGTCAGGGCAGAAAATAAGGACGGTGATGGGGACATTTTCCTCACGCCGCTTGATGGATGTGCAGAAGAAGTGGGTTTTCCCGTTGGGTTGAGAGATTTGGTGTCGTAACAATAAGTAGACCTAGCTGTAGTGTAAGTTGTGCATCATTGTTGTTTAGGTTTTTGGATTGATGATGTTTTTCGGGAAGGGCAGGGGGAGCAGAGAGAGAGAGAGAGAGACGGACAGAGAGAGAGAGAGAAAGAGAGAGAGAGAGAGAGAGAGAGAAGGGGGGGGCACATAGAGAGGGAAAGAGAGAAAGAAAGAGAGATGGGGGAGGGGAGAATAACAACAAGTAAGAGAAGGAAAGAGTAAAGAACAGAGAGTGAAAATTACGAGTCGTATAATCAATAACATGTTTCGAAGTTCAGAATTCAGACAGACAATAAAAAGGCTGTTGTAAAATAGAAGCTTATCCACGGGAGAATGCGTCAAAATATTTGTTTCTTGTGTTAACCTAAACATTTTGTTTGAAAAAATAATAATATGCTCTGGTGTGGTTTAATTGCTCTTTCTCCCATATCAAATTATAACTGTCGTCCTTGTCTCTCCTCCTTCTGTTCTTTGTATGTAAAGTCTCTTAATGTATGTAACACCTCTAATCTTCGGTTCTAACTTATATCACCCGTGACCTAATTTGTGTCGCAAGTGTTGTAAAACTCTTACATAAACTAAACTACATGTAGATCCAAGTATTAACCTCAACCTTTTGCACAAATATTACCAGTAAGTGCTTTTCCCTCACGTGGAAAACCCCAGCTCAATAATAATATGTCTTCATTAAAGTTAACCGGGTCTGTCACGCGACTTCATTATGAGAAGAACCCCCCCCCCCCCCGTAATAATCAAAAGTCAACTTGCAAACACAAGATTTAACTGATACAATGCTGCTGGGTTGAATCTTTGTGCAAATTACGAAATTAATGTTTCATAAGCGCGCCCGTTGCAAGACAGATCAATAAAGTTACACTTACTTAGACTAGGCCTACAATCCTTTTTTCCCCCCAGAATTGTTCGTTGTGTGTTTATTATTATATTTATCTATTTTTTATTTGTTCTGTTTATTTTTATATTCTTTTTTTTTCTTCAAATCTGGCTTGTGACGTTAGCTAGCTTGAGTTTCATTCATAATAATGTGAATGGGTATTACGTTTCCTCCGGTGTTAACGTCATTGTTTGTCGAGTCAAGAAATCTTTTTTTTCTTCTGTAGTTTAATCGCTTGTTCTTACGTGTGTGTCTGGGCCGAGTGGTGTCTCTTTCAGTTGCGTTTCATTTTTTATTCATAGGCTTATTTTGTTGCGTGTGAAACATTGCTCGGCTTGGAATTGTTGTTTTGTTGTCAACTAAAGTGTTCTTGTTTTTAGATGGGCTTTTTTTCCCATTGACCCACTAGTTGCCTCGTGAACAAAACAATTATTTATCCATTTATTCCCCCCCCCCCTAAAAAAAGGGGGGGGGGGGTTTGTCAGATGACAAATAATAAGACAATATAATAACGAGTGTAATTGTTTCTCGATTGTCATGGCAACTGTTTGTATTTGTCTTCCTCCAGTATATATGTGACGACGTCACAGTGTCTGCAGACAGGTTCCAGCCAGTCCTCTCACTCAAGGTATGTCATCGGTGGTTGTTTTTTTTGGGACTTAGGGCCTATTGGGAGGTCTCAGACCAATCTTTCGGTCGTTTTTGTCCTTGTTGTTGGTTTTGTTGTTTGGTTTGTTTTGTTTTGTTTTGTTTTGGGGGATTGGTTTTGTTTTTGTTTTTTGTTTTTTTTAAATCAGGCACTGGATCAATCCCCATTTCAGAAATACTTTTAATTTAAGTGTGCGTGCGTGTGTATGCGTGTGTTTGTGTGTATATTTGTGTGTATGTTATATGTGTGTAATATAGGTTATATCATATATGTAATGTAAGCTTTTATGTTTGCACCCATAAATATAGACAAAAAGGAAAATAGGAAATTCCATAATAAATTGTTTTTCAATTAAAAAACTTTTCAAATCTTTGTGTTTGTTTACTTGACAATATTTTTGACATTTTGTTTGGCATTATTTTGACCGTCTGTTTGTTCATTTGTCTGCTCTCCAGGGCTCTGAGCTGGTTATGTCATATGACGAGCACGTTCTCACTCACAACTTCAAGTTTGGCGTCATTTATCAGAAGAAAGGACAGGTGAGAACTTTTTACTTTTGTGAGAGTTTTATGGCTATTGCAACTCTAAATAGGTCATAGAAGTTCTGCGAAGAATTGTGTGACTTGGGTGCAGTTGTTGTTGCAATACAGTAGTAGTTGTAGTAGTGGTAGTGGCAGTAGCAGTAGTGCAATAGCAGCAGTGTCATCATCATCATCATCATCGTCATCATCATCATCGTCATCATCATCGTCATCGTCATCGTCATCGTCATCATCATCATCATCATCATCATCATTCTCAGTAACAAGATGATGATCTTAATCATCATTAATATCAACATCATCATCATCATCATCATCTCGTTTTTCTCCCCCAGACAAGCGAGGAAGAGCTGTTTGCCAACAAGACCCACAGTCCTGCCATGGACACCTTCTTGGAAACCCTCGGCACACGAGTGCAGCTCAAAGACTTCAAGGGGTGCGTACACTTTAAAAAAAAACTTTAAGTGTTAAGAGAGAAAGAGGGACAGTGGGGAAAGAGAGAAGGAGAGAGAGAGAGAGAGAGAAAGAGAGGGAGAGAGAGAGAGAGAGAGAGAGAGAGAGAGAGAGAGAGAGAGAGAGAGAGATTCAGACGGACAAACAGACAGACAGACAGACAGAAAGAGAGAGAAAAATAGAAAGAGAGATTGATAGAAAGAGATAGAGAGATAAAAATTAAGCACGAGAGAGAGCAAACAAAGGAGAAAAGGCGGAGTATAGAGGGGAGTGGGAGAGGGGGGGGGAGGGAGGGGCAGAAAGACAGTGATAGAAAGAAAGATATATAGAGACAGAAAGGGAGAGAGAGAGAGAGAGAGAGAGAGAGAGAGAGAGAGAGAGAGAGAGAGAGAAAGATATTAATTTAAAAGTTAGAGAAGCACTCTAAGCAACCAAAATCTACATTCTGTCCCGTTGTTAAAATTCACTGTTGAACATGTTTTTCCCATGTAGGTTCCGCGGAGGGCTGGACACAACTCACTGTCAGACAGGAGCAGAGTCGGTGTACACAACCTACAATGGAAAAGAAATCATGTTCCATGTGTCAACGATGCTACCATACACAGAGGGAGATCCTCAACAGGTTTGTGTGAACGGTGTCTCGATTCTAAATGTCTGTCCATCCTCATCATCATAAAGTGCCAGATGTGGAAGACGCTATAGTGAGCATGGTTCTCCTTTAGTTTTAGTTTTAGTAAGTGTTTTACGGCACTTGCAATACATTAAGGTCATATCATGTAAGTGCTGAGGATTAGATGTGTTCTAGAGAGTAACAAACATAAAAAAGAAGGAGGAGAGATAAGGATGATAGATGTTTGATAGGAAAGAAGAATTAAACCACACCAGAGCACCCGCTAACCATCTACATGGTTATCCATTTAATGATTTCATTCTAAATGTCTGTGTGTTATATATTGTCTCATCATCATTAAGTGCCACATCTGAAACTGACATCAACGATCATTTGTTCTCCATTTATTTCTCCGCTTGGGTGCTGTAAAAAATTCCATATTATCCTTGCATTTCCCTATCACCCATGTCACATTTCAAAATAGCATACATAAAGAGGAGTCTAGCACTAAGCGGTCGGAATGACGATGAAGTTAATGATTATGTTAAGGGATTAAATGAAGATAATGATGATGATTGTATTTTTCTCCTCCCCTTCCCTCAGTTACAACGGAAACGTCACATCGGCAACGATATCGTGGCCATCGTATTTCAAGAGGAGAACACTCCATTTGTTCCGGACATGATCGCCTCTCACTTCCTGCACTGCTTCATCGTGGTGCAGCCTGTGCATAAACGCGGGGAGTCGCCGAGATACAAGGTATGTCACAGTCATGGAAGGGACAGAGGGGGGATAGAGAAAATGAATGAATGAATGAAAGATTGAAAGAAATAATGGATGAATAAAACAATGAATGAGTCAGTGAAAGAATTAAAAGGACAAATGAAAGAAAAGAAGAATGAAAGTATGTGTAAAAGAATAAAGATGCATGGAAAGAACAAATGGAATTATGAAAAGGTCCACGGATGAATGAAGAAATGGATGTTAACAGGAGTCGGAGTTGAAATAAATATTTATATATATGTTTATTTATTAGATATTTATATATATTTTTTTTACTTTCTTTCCACCCCAGATCTCTGTTGCAGCGAGAAAAGACGTGCCTCGGTTCTATCCCTTGCTGCCCCAGGGTGCTGAATTTGTCAGTGTAAGTTCGCTATTTGCTTTTTTTTTTCTTATTGTGGGTGATTGAAGGATGCTCCGGTGTGGTTTGCTCCTTCTTTCTTATCAAACATCCATCACCCTTGTCTATACTCCTTCTTTTCTTTGTATATTAATCTAGTAATACCTCTAAATTTTCGGCACTTTTATGACCTATTTGTGTTACAAGTGCCGTAAAACTAAAATAAACATTTTGAACATAAACACTGTCTTTTCTTTGTATGTCATTCTCTAGTAATATCTCTAATCTTTGGCACTTACATAACCAATTTGTCTTGCAAATGTAAACGTTTTACTAAATTTAGACTAAAATGAACAACTTGAGCATAACCAATGTCTACCATTTCCCTCCACAGGGAGAAGAGTTTCGGGAATTTCTTCTCACCAAACTGATCAACGCTGAGTTTGCCTGTTACAAAGCTGACCAGTTCGCCAAATTAGGGGTGAGTTTGAGGCACTGACCCTTGTCCGTTTGTTGATTTGTGTAGTTAGGTTTACCTTATTGACTCATGGTGAGCTAAGATATATGGACTGATTAGGGAGTTGGGGATGTTGCATTAGAAATGTGTTAAGTGAAGTGTTGTGCAACGATTGATTTTGTCATGTACACATGTGAAAAAAGAATCTACTTGAAAAAAAACTTGGAGCAGGATCTATTTTTCTTTGGTAATTATGTCAGATAATGCAAATATGCCTCCCCATAAAAGAAACGAGTCTAATATATAATATTATTTGAAATAATATTTTTCTTATTTTGCTATGTCGGCTGCCTATGTGTTTTAGATATAGGCTACCCGGTAATGGAAATGCATGTTTTAAAAAAAATTCAAGACTTAGAAATCTGTAATCAATTCACTATGTATTATGCATTTTGCAATGTACATGATAGCTGAGTGCCTACTAGACTATGTATATTAATTATCATTATCTACATCTCATCTCCTCAGCACCGGACGCAATGTTAGCTGTGTGCCTGCTAGACTATATAGGCCTATTAATTATCATTTCCTTCCTCTCATGTCCCCAGCACCGGACGCGAGCCTCTCTCCTGGAGTCTCTGTACCACGACCTCCAAAAGAGGAACCTGGAGCTGTTTGGCCTGAGCTCTGTGGCCAGCAGCAAGCAAGAAGGGAGTCGCCTCATCGACTCAGTCAAGAGGGCCTTCAGTGGGAAGGGGCGCAGTCCCAGCTTAGAGTGCAACAGTTTACAGGTCAGTGGTGGTGGCATTTTGTAGCCTATCTCATCCGGGAAGGGGCATAGTCCCAGCTTAGAGTGCAACAGTTTACAGGTCAGTGGTGGTGGCATCTTGTAGCCTATCTCATTCGGAAAGGGGCATAGTCCCAGCTTAGAGTGCAACAGTTTACAGGTCAGTGGTGGTAGCATCTTGGATCTCATCTGTTTTGTTTTTGTTACAGCTTTACAATCCATATTTTTATCCCAGCATACCATTGAGTCGATAGTGCCGTAAAACATCTACTCAATCAATCTATCCATCAAAAACCCAGCAGACCCGAGAACACTGAGAAATATTCTCGGATGATATTTTCATCATCATATCTCTCCTTTTGTCTCTTTTGTCTTATTCCTGCTTTCTGTTTCCATCGTACTACTGTCTTTGTTTCTGTTCTTAAAACTTGATCGGTTTAGACTAAAAAAAACTATATCAAATAAGCTAAATATATCTTCCTCATAGAATTTTTTTCTCTTTTTTAAGGTCTAACAGTGAGTATAAGAGTTGAAAGAAATTATTGGATACTTCTTGTGAACATGATGACCATAGACAATTTCTTTCTTTGGAAAACAGAAATGTAGTCAGGTTATTTAAGCCTGAAAAGTAAATCACCAGTCTTTGTTTTAACACCTGTATTTTCCAATGTTTCAGGTTTCGAAAAAGAACGGTATCCAGGGGTCTCTGGCGACAGTCGGAGAGGATGAGAAGGGAGTGAACTCCCCCGTCAGAAAGTCTCCCTCTACGCCACGGAATCTTGTGCGGCAAATGTCTTCCAGTGTGGAAAAAACCAGCAAGTCAAATCGTGATAGCAAGGGGTGAGCTTTTTTCTTAGATGTCGGTTTCCGTTAATTTTAAATTGTTTTTTAAGTAAATTTAATTATGATGATAATAATGATAATAGTAAAATTAATAATAACAATAGTAAAAATAATGATAAGAAGAAGAACAAGAACAAGAACAAGAACAAGAAGAAGAAGAGGAAGAAGAAGAAGAAGAAGAAGAAGAAGAAGAAGAAGAAGAAGAAGAAGAAGAATTCTGTACAACTACTACTAATAATTATTATAATAATTATAATAATTACATTTATGTGGTGTATGATCTATGCTCTTTGACAAACTCTATGACCTTCACATTTATTTTATTGCCGGTACCCTTTTGTGTTGCAAATACCATAGAACTCTTACCAAAACAGACCTACCAAGTGCATTTTTCTAATCTTCTACCAAGTTTATCTCTCTCTAATCTTCTACCAAGTTTATCTCTCTAATTTCCACCAAGTTTATCTCTCTAATTTCCACCAAGTTTATCTCTCTAATCTTCCACCAAGTTTATCTCTCTAATCTTCCTGTTTTTCTCTCCCCGGTTTACAGCAACCTGCGCATAGAGAGCAGCCACAGCATGCTGGGGTACCCAACCTGTGCCAGTCCTCCGCCCAGCCCGCAGTCCAGCCCTAGCAGCGTCTCCTCCACAACCAGGTACTTGAAAAACATTTATTTTAGGCTTATTATAGATATTTTTACACCCTCATCGACACAATTTAGATAATTTTATGAGACCGTGATCTCCTCTACAACCAGGTACTTCAAACAAATATATATTATTGTAGGTATTTTTTTACGTCCCCATCGACGTAAATTAGATTACTTTTGGAGACAGTGGGCTTTGACCCTGTGTGTCAAGGGCCAACCTGAGTTTAAAGGGATGCAACATCCTCTCGGAAAGACTGAGATTATTTATAATGTAAAAAAACTCCCCCTTTTGTAATCGAACTCAGGTCTCCTGCATGCAACGACAAAGTGGCTAACTAACCGCTACACTATAGATGCTGGTCAACTCGGTACTTTTATTCACTACTTCGCTTCTGATTTCTGTTATTATACAAGTGGTAGACATGGAAAAAGTAGATTGCCTAAATCTCCCTTCATTCCTCGAATACCTTGATACGACGCTCCAACAGAGAGACATAGTCAATAATATTATGTTTAAAATCAAGGAAGGAGGGTAGAAATAAATAAAACTTACCCGAATACGCAGTAAAACTGATGACCTTTTTCAACTTTTTCGTTCGACAGAATGAACCAGCTCATCCACATATCCCGGTCGAACTCGGAGAGCAGTTTCAACAGCATGGAGGAATATCCTCCCAACATGGCTTCCGGAAACAACAACATCAACAACAACAACAACAGCGGCAACAACAACAACAACAACAATTTTAACTCCAGCAATGTGACGGCGGGTGTGGGCAGCAATACTCTCAAGTTGACCAACCAAGATGATTCAGATACTGGCATGGTAAGTCAAGATTACATTATTATTATTTTTTTTTTTTTCTTAATTATTTTTAGCATTTAAATTGTTATTATTATTATTATTTATGAATATTATTATCATCATCTTTATCATACGAGATCTATCATTCTCATGATTTTATTATTACTAATTACTATTAATGTGGTCCTTCTTCTCCTCCTCCTCCTCCTTCTTCTTGTTCTTCTTCTACTTCTTCTTCTTCTTCTTCTTCTTCTTGATAATTATTATTATTAGCCTATCATCATCATCTTTATTATAACTAAACAAGTAGAAAATTAAAATTATTACAGTAACTCATGAACCCGTTATTTGTTCCTCAGGAGAGCATATCGTCGACGGGCACCCCAGGCACCACCACCAACCCCCCCTCCCAGTATAACGGCCAGTACGTCTTCTCTCTGGAAACCGATGGTAAGTTGGAGAACGTTTGCCACTCCTTTGACTTTTTGCTATCATTTCATTCATCTGAGACTTTCTGTCATTACTCTTAAATAACTCCTCGTCATTTCTTTGGCACAAATGAATATCACCTCACATTTCACTTTGACGATAATCTGATAACTTTCATCTTATTTTCTGATCCGTTTCATACTTTTCTTTTTTCACTTTCACACCTTTATTTTCTGGTCAACATCATAGCCTACCTTCATTATATGTTTCTGAACAGATATGATCAACTTTTTCACTCATTCTTATATTCTGTCTTGACCATTGAAAAAAAATTTGTCTCAAATTCCAATATTATTGTACTTTTGGAAATAGAAAGGAAACATAAATCAAATTACAGACTCCAGTATTATTATACGCTTTTTCATGATACAGACATCTTGTAAATGAAGAAGAAATAAAATCTATAAAGAGTAAGTAATTTTACAAATATGGAAAACTTCAGTCCCAATTTTCTCAAAATAATAGTAGTAGCACTAAAGACACTTTGGATTTCATAGGTCAATCTGTAGTAGGCCTACTATACTGTATCGCATGCTCACATGACCTTAAAAGCAGCTGCGAATGCTGTAAAACACCCACCAAACCAACCAATCTGTTGTACCTGTTGACCTCCAACTCCGCGCACCTGTCATGAATGTCACCCTTTGTTTCTTTCAGTGCATGATGCTCTCCTTAGGCAGATAGACCAGCTCCGAGGAGAAATTCACAAACTGAAAAGTGAAAAACACGATCTTCTCCGACAGCATGCGGTAAGACACTGATTAAGACATCGATAGCATTAGTTTAGCTGTCCTCATCGTTTTATGCAAGAAAAATTCTGAAATTAAGCAAACTGAGCCCAAAAATGTGAAATTATGCGATTCTGTTAATTTTAACAAAGAACGATAAAGGAAAATTATCACAAATTACGCAAAAAAATGATCAAATTTTGCTAAATTATGCGGGATGCATAAAACCACAGGGACAGATTTGGTTCGTAATTCAGTCATTCAGGCAGAGGAGAATCTGTATTGTGTGCTTACTTTTTTTATATGATAGTTTTTTGGATGTAAGAATAATGTCATATAAAAAGGATTCCTTTTATTTTTCTTTCACTTCTGTCCATATACACACATAATTGTACCACACCTACAGACATCATACACATGCACTCACATTATAACTCGTGTGCTATCACTCGCACACAGACACACACATACACACACACACATAACACCACCTTCTTTCAGTTCCTAAATAAAGACTAGTCAGGTTAATTCTTGTTATCCACTCTTTATTTATTCATTCACTTGATTTAAAAAAAACAACTTTTTTTAGACATAAATTTCCTTACTCTCTCCTGTCTTTTCTGTCCTTTTCCTGACCTATATTTTTCAATTTTATCTTTTCCTGACTTGTAATATTCCTTTTTTCTCTATTTGTAACCTATGCTATATTACTTTTTTACAGTCGTAAATCTCTTTTTATGAGTATCGGTATCATATTATCCCCTTTTTTAAAATCACTTACATTTTTTTTTAACACCGTTTTATGTCATTGATTTTTGTTTGCTGTAAATAATTATGTTATCTGATCCTGTCTTATACCAAGTTATTTTCCATCTCGTCACCAGGGCCAGCAAAAGGAGATCAAGAGTATGCGAGAGAACGAATCTCATCTCACCTCTGAGCTTGGCACGTTGCAGAGAGAGTTACAGGCTTATAGGCAGATGTTGCCTCGAGATTCCAGCTCTTTAGAAACTTCAGCTTGAGAGAGAGAGAGAGAGAGATAGAGAGAGAGAGAGAGAGATAGAGAGAGAGAGAGAGAGAGAGAGAGAGCAAGATAAAGAAAGAAGGGATGCCTGAATTGTGAAAAGCAACAGGAAACTAGTTTTATGAACAAAGTATTGTCCACTCATAGATAGAGAGAGTGTGTGTGTGTATGTGTGAGAGAGAGAGAGATATCGAGACACTCGGAGATTGAAAAAAAGAGACTAATATTAGAAATTGACTAATGGAAAAATAAAGAACAGAAGACAGAAAGGGTGTATGAAATGCAAAAAAAAAGAGAAAGCAAGTTTGAAATTTGATAATTTGTATATTTTTATTGTACGCTAGTATGCAATATTTGAGAGGTGGGAATGTCTTTTCAATTTTGACATCTTGACAATTTGCACAGCAGTAGCTTCAACTTCTTTACCAGAAGCCATTTACTTTTTCAAGTAATGATAGTATGTAAATGTAAATGACATTTACAGAAAGTGAATATCAATTATTTTTTTCCCGCTTTGTTTCTTTTAAAAGCGAAGCAAAAGAGGAGATTTTGTATATTCGCTTGAGCATTTGTTTTAGTTTTACAGCGATATCGATACAGTTTGGTCATGTTAGTGCAACAACAAACACGAAGAGTATGCTATTTGTGGCATGGACGTTTATGTCGTGTATGCTTCAACAATAAGTTTGATTTTCAGCAAGCCTGAAAGTGTAAAGTGTACTATGTGTGGACCAAACTGTGTGACAAAAAATGTATCTCTAATGAACTCAGTATAGGATAGGCTTTCTAATGCCAGAAGTGTGTCATGATGGTTTTATGTTTGTTTTTTGGGGGGATTTTTTATATATTTTGGAATGACTGGTTATATTTTCTCGGAGAAGAAAAAATGTCTTGATTTACTACCCTGCATGTTGAGAAAATAGTGAGTAGAAGTACATTCAATGTATATTTTGTAAAAGTTGAAACTAGAAGGTTTGTTTGTTGTTGTTTTTTATTTACAGAAAGGTTTGGACAGAGGCCTTTTTGTAGAAAGACAAATCTGGTTTGGAAATGTACATACATGTATATTTTCTTTTCTTTTCTTCTCCTCCTCTCTCTTCTTTTCGGCTCTCTACAGTAGATACAGAGAGAGAGAGAGAGAGAGAGAGAGAATACAGAAAAAGAATACAGAGAGAGAGAGAGAGAGAGAGAGAGAGAGAGAGAATGATGAGAGACAAAGAGATAGTCTGAAATAGAATAGAATAACGAATGGAGAGAAAGAAATAAGAATGCATGAGTGTAAAATAACTGTGGCAAACTGACATATATATGGACTTCCTGTACCTCCACTGCCTAGCTCCCTTTGATGGTGTTCAAATTCTGAGACTTTCATACAACATACCAAAGTACGTATATATATTTATATATATGTACGTATATATATATATATATATATATATATATATATATATATATATATATATATATATATATATATATATATATATATAATGTCAACTGTTCAGAGGCACTGTACAAAAGAGTGGAATAACGAATGAGATTCCAATTTATTCTCACTGAGAGATGCGCAAGATTTACTCAATCATGGAATTTTTATTCTTGTTTTTTTACTTGTTGTTATAATTTGCTTGTGAGAGAAATGCCGCCTCTGTTGATTCGTAGTTCTTCTAGAGGTTACTAACTCATTCCATGCCGATCCATGGAGTAGCGTCGACGTACCATTCATCATGTGTTTCACGTCTCACTTCAGTTGTACATAGGTTTTTTATTCTGTCCGTTTTTTCAGTTGAATTTACTTTTTCATAATTCTCGTTCCCGTTCCTTTATTTTGGTATAAATATTTTCCATTATATTGGTACCTATAAATAACCACGTTTAATAAATTATAAGCAAAATAGAAGCCCTCAAAATGAGCACACCAACAGAACTATGGAAAAGACAAAACTTTTTCCTGCGTGATGTGGAATTAATTTAATTACATGTACGGCACTCACAACTGCATAAGGTCATGCGTGTGTGTTGGACTCCATTTGGTTGTTTTCAGGTTAGTTCATTGCACTAGATATGGCATAGTTTTACTACTTTATGGTTGAAGTTAGAAAATTCGTGGGTGTGGAATTAATTGAGCTTGGTGATTCTGGCATGGAATGAGTTAAGTTTTAAATGAGATGTGTGTGTGTGTGAGTAATTCTGTACAGACAATCTGACTATGTACATACATAATTAGGCATTTGGAGTGCTTATTTTTATTGTGAGAGTGTCTGTGTGAATGAATGGAGACTGCAGAGAAAAACTAATGTTTATATCCTCGTCGCTCAAACTCTGCAGTGCTGTTGCAAGTGACTACACAAAAGTGAATGCATATATATATATGTATTATTTTTTTTTTAATTCTTGAATGTGTCTGAATGAGGCGCTGTACTGTTGCTCACTCAATGTAGAATTCTTACGGTACTTCATTTCGGTATTGTTAAATTGATGATATTTCAGAGATTTAAAAAAAATAGTGAATTAGCCACTATTTGACATTCATTAATTTGAAATTCAGAAGTAATTTCAAGCAAGTCCTTTGACACTGACTGCAGACTTGAACATTTTTATAAATCTTCTTTTAAATTTATGTAAGGATATTTGATCATTTATGTACAGGAATTTATTAATCTTCACACACTTTGTTACCATTTTTATAACTTTTTGGACAGAGATTTTTTTTCATAGAAGTTATCACTAAAGGGGCGATCCAACCTCTAAAATATTACAGCTTTTCTTGGAGGGGGGGGAGAGGCGTTAAAACTCCTACAATAGTACGATACCAGACATATTATAAAGAAAGTCTCAAAGTGTTCTGATGTCAATATGTTGAATTACATTATAGAGTTGGGAGATAAATTTTCCCTGTACCACGCCTTGAATATGTGATTGTTTTATATATATATATATGAGCCCTCAACCCTTCCGAGTCACAAGTCTTCTTCCAAACACAACACGCTGGCTGTGCATTCACTAACCCTCAGCGGACAGCAATGATGTCGACGCTGTCTGTCTGTGTGACACCGTGGCTCAGCCCTTGATGTTGCTGATAATAACGGTGGAGTCGGCTCCAACTGAAATCTGCGGGGCCGCCAGATTTTCTTCTGTCTACAGAGTTTGCTCAAATAGAAGGAAGAGAAAAAAATCTGGGATTTGCTTTGTCTTTTTTTTTTTTTTTGATTTACCGCTGTTTTTAGATTAGATCAACCCGTGTTCAGTTTGAGTGGGCTCCACTGTATTAGACCTGATATGTATATAGTTATTAGTACGGTATTTCCCCCGCAGGTTTTATTATTTGTTCAGTTTATTGTTCTTTTGTCTTGTTTTGTTTTGTAAGCCCTGAAAAGAGCAAGACATTTCACATCCCGAGAATCACAGGGTTGTAACTCCACTTTTTGTGAGAACTGAGTAACAAATGACACAGAATTATAACTGACACAGTTGCCATGCACAGTGTGTTAACAGCTCAAGACAATTAGACTTGATTTTTTTTTCAGTTTGGCAATTTGCAAAAAAAGATGTATAAACATTATAGCTGTAAGAGTGCAAATCTTGGAATCCTATTTTATCAAAACTATGCGTCATGGAGTTAGAGTTGGAGCCCTGTCATTCTTAGGTCGTGATTTGGGTCCTGTGACTGCCTTCACCAATGGCCTACAGTCTCTTAGTCTGGTAGACAAACTGAGTAAACTGTGACAAGTGTACAACAGTGTAAATGTTTCTCTAGCCATTTGGAATTGCCTGTGATGTGGCCTACGCTTCCTGTTCATAGAGTTTCATCCATGTAAGGAAGAGAATTGTCGTAAATGTGATATAATTTCTTCAAGCAAACTTAATGCCACGGAAGTGACTGTGTATATAGCATGGATGAGTTGAGAATAGTGGCAGGTTTTTTCCCCCTAGTTTTTTGTTTGTTTTTTTTACTTCATTTATCAACTGTCTTCTAAATGCATTTGAAAACTCCAGGGGAAAAAACCCAGAGCAGTCACATTTTTAAAAGGTGGAGAAAATGGAGATTCAAATTTTGAAAATCCATATTTCAGTGAAATTTTCAGTGAGCACACCACTTCTTTTACTCAGCCCATGGATTAGCTGGGTTATCTGTTTATCATTTGCGGAGAAGGTAGAGTTCTCAATAAATGAATGATTTCAACAAGGGGAAGAAAAATTCTTTTTTTTTAAAAAGAGACATCTGGTATTTCCCCCCTGGACTTTTCATTTACATTTCTGATGTGAGTTGTCCAGCTTCTGAAAACTTATTATGATGACAATATGATAATATTGTCTGCATTAGAAAGTAGAGGGAGTGAGTGAGAGAGAAACTATTTTGTCAGGAAGAAAAAATGGCTAAAAACTTGAAATGAATGATAAGGAGAGATTCAGACATGAAAGGAGAGAGAAAGAAAGAAACATTTGGAGAAAGAAAGAAAGAAAGAAAGAAAGAAAGAAAGATGGGGCTGAAAGAACTACTCTGCTGTAAATTTTTGGAATTCGAATGAATATATGGGAATCAGTCCACAAGAAGGCTCCGTTATTTTGTATAGTTGTACAGACATCTAATTTTTATAAGAATGCCATGCTGTGGATAACGATGACTATTTTATTACTGTACCGACCTACAGCACATCCTTTGACTAACCTGTGTGTGTTCAGATTTTTTTTTACAATCTCACAGTGCAGTGGAATCTCAGAGGTACCTTGTTCCTCGGTTGACATACAATTCATGGTCTAGCACGCTCTTGGAAATTAGTGGGATGAGGAAATTTTTTCTTATCGTTTGAATTTCAGGTAATTTAATAATAATATAAATATGAATGTACATGTGTAACCATATCTATTTTTGGTCATCGTATTTCAAAACTCCTCAACACCTAATATTGAGTAATGATACAGGCAAAATTTTTACATGCAAGGATTTCCTGTAGAGTTGCCAGAATGTAGCTGAAGTACACTTGAGTTATTTAGTGCAAGCTTACACTCAAAGACCTGAACTTGAGACTACAAATAATAATGTATAATAATTTGAAATAGCACACTGCGAATAATTAAGCGACGGTTGCAAGACTTTGCTCTCCTTTTAGAAAAAATTATTATGTATCTATTTCTAGGCGGAAAGGTCGAGTTTCATAGATTGCACTGAAATATGAACCATCGAGGCCAACTATTTACAGATCTCATTATGTTAACTTGATGTTCCAAATATGGCACATATAGTGCTTGAGAGTTATAGAACCTGACAGAAGTGTTTGTCAGGTTTCCTGAATGATGCAGCAATACTTGACTTAAAATTTGATAGTACGAAGGCTTTCTCATTAACTTCTTTTGAAAGAACAGAATTTCCTCATAAAGAAAATGAACAGATTTAAATTGCGAAACAAATTGATCATTGATGTGAAATACTAAAAAGGGACGATTATGATAAATTCCACAAGGACATATATTTATTTTAAGCTGTTTTGAAAAGCATGTTAATTTTTTTTTTGTCTGCTAGTTCAAATCAGAGTAATAATTTGAAAAAATCACATATTTTGGGTAAAGACAAGTTCTTGTGAAGGCCAAATTTGTGTTCACACTACTGTTCTCGTAGTTTGCATGAGTGAACAAGCACCACTTGCATTTGCTCCTGAAGATATGAGCGATTTTATTCATTTGGGCAACAAACAATTTACATTTTCAATGGATTCGATTTGTTACTTTACAAAATCCTTTGTGTATTCCATTTCCGTTCCATCTGCTACTGCTATTGTTAGTACTCCTCTGTTTCCCTTTTTTATGTGCTCATGTGTGCGTCCTTTGGATGTTGTTTGTTTGTTCAACTGTTGCTTTGGCGAGGAGAGCCCTAGCCACTAGTCATTGAGGTTCTCATGTGATAAGATATTATGATTGTTAT